CCAATTACTTTGTTTTGGCTTCAACCGGGCATGGGCGCGTATCTAACCCACCTAGACAGCTATTCTTCAGTCCGAACCTTATTTTGGATCTTACAGTTATATCCACGCACTTCTGATCAATCTGATAAGTATAGATACAAATAGAATTCAACACTTGTGAACAGCAAGCTGTCAACAACACAGACTGACTTTCTACTTTAAATCAATGACAGTACAAACATCGGCATCAGTTGACATTAACCCTATATTACTACTTCTGTGGTATCATTAATCTCAAGGCAGACTGGACGCTGCTTATCTGAGGAACTCAACCAATTGTCAACACAATGTATTTTAACACTGTTTGGTATCACTTTGAAATGTTACAGTTATTTTATTATTGTCATTGTCGATTGCCTAATGCACAAGACATCGTGAGGTGGAGTTAAACTACGGAAGTTTTCATGGTTAGTTTGTACTTGACAGATACAACGAAAACCTGGTGAAAGAAGGCATGTGATGGTAGAAGGAGAATTAAAGATAGTTATAACACGAAGCTTTTAAGGAATAGATAAAAAATGCCGTTCTCATCTGTCACAGACTGTATTAAAAACACAAAACAAATTGCTACAATTGTAAAAACCTGGAATATTATACTTAATTATTTCGTTGCCACCTACTTGCTTGAAGAGGCTAGCAGCAATCGGCTAGGCAAAGTGCTGCGATTATTTGAGCTTCAGCCATAGATCATCACAAATACAAATCTAAGAAATCTAAATGGGACCAATGCCCTGGGACTGTAAGGGGTTTAACATGTCTCTTTTGAGCACAGAAAGTAGACAGCACATAATCGACTGCTGGGTTCTCAGATGGGTGCATGATTACGGTGCCTATTTACTTCTGATCGTTTTTACCTAATCTGTATAAAATGTGGGGGACGCTATGTACGGTAATAAGACGTCGTATCCAGTTGAAACCTAAATTGGGATTGTTAGTGTACGTGCAATATGTTTTTCTAGTGTCGCAATAAGTGGCATAAATGTAGACGATTTTAACGAAAACTTGACTGGAGTGATGGAGTATATGACTACTTTATATGAAATTAACTAGGAAATGTTATTAGACATCATAGATATAGCATAAAATTATGTAATGCGGTAGTGAAACGTGCTGCGTTACATTTACTTCTATGTAGTAAGGATTTGAAGTAGACGCTTGTCCGATACGATACAGATCGCAGGGAAATTCGCATAGAATTTGAGGTACCGTTGGTTCAATACTTCGACGGGAATGGCGTTGCTCACAGATTCTTTATAAGTCTAAAACAACTAGAGTCGAATTCGTCGTATTGCTTAGACGTACGATTTAGACGAAATTCAAAATCCCAGGGAGTTTATACTTCAAACTCACTCAATTTCTGGTGTCCTTATTTCCTTTCCGACCGTAGAAATTGACAGTCGGAAATTAGGAAGACAGTGGTCGAGTAAGAAAAAAGTGTAGGGGATAGTTTGTGGCAAATAAAGCGAAAGAGCGGGAAGATATATTCATAGTCGTTAGCTGATTTTGTCCCGCTTATATGATTGGATAGTTATTCGTGTCACCTTGCGACTGTAGTTACATGTGGATGCTATATTGAAAAACTCATTACGCAGGAGCATTTGCATGCTGCTATCGCTTAGTAACGAACCATGATAGCCGATTACACTCACAGCCGATTCGTCACTTTGATCGATTGAGGGGGGTAGACATGTCTGGATACTTACCGATATTGGGATAAAGCAGCAAATGTTCATAATAATCAACAACCTTATGAGACAACAGTGGAAATGAAAAAATAAGTACAGAGTGCATTTATGAAGATTATAACGGGTTGCGTTATTCAAAGTCTTGCTCACTAGTGTTTATCACTGGCATGAATGACCTGTACCGAATGATTTGGAGATCCACATAATCTGGATAAGAGTGACGTCACCTCCCATCTTACGTCGAAATAATACCCCCCTGTTAGTACCTGACTTAAACTAACCCTCCGTCGTGTCAAGGCACCATGGTTACTTTGACGACTATGTAACTAATCCGTGACGTTATGGCAGAAATAAACTAGTAAGATCATGTACAAGAGCAAAGTGTGGCCGCTGCAGTTTGAGCCAGCCTATGGATTGTACCTAGCTGATGTGTGTTGTTTGTCCTTGATATCCAAGACAATATTTAGAAAGGTAAACTTCAGTCTTCAGCAATAAGGATAGTAGGTTGGTGGGCCTGTGTTAATCCTGACGGTTCACCTTCCAGTGGTGGTCTAGCTTCTCCTTAAAAATGTTCACTAAATGGGCTGGTACCACTTATTTGGGTCAAGGCGTTCCAGTCTTTGAGAAAGACGGAACCCCATCTTGAGTTTATTAGATCGTGGTTTGTAAACTTTCTTCCTGTCACCTCGGAGATAAGTTGTGCTGCATGGAGCGAAAAGATAAGAAATCCTTTGGCTGCAGCTGCGTTGCAATTCGTAGTTTTTTTCAAGTCGCAACTTGTTATTATTCCTAAGTCTTTACGTTCCTTAATGAATTGAAGAGATATACCATCAATAGCATACTGGCATCTACTACCGTGCCCACTCCTAGAATTTCAGAGAGATCAAGAACAAAGATTGGTGCAGAATAATATGAGTCATTTCGTTAGGTTCTCATTAGCTGCTTACGACCTATAATATTTTAAAATCAACTTTATTACAGATATTTACATACTTATACATACTAGGGTGATTAAACATTAATATATGTATCATTATGTAGAGAAGATTTTATTAGAGTTGATATAATCATAAAAATTTTGTTTCGGATAGTTAAAGTTTAGGAGCAAAAATTCTATTGAATTAATGACTAGAACTTATGGAGTTAACAAATATTAGGTGATTATTTTTGAAGCGACTGAAAACACATTAATGGTAATAAATAATAAATTGAAATTAGTCAGCTATGAGCTGAAGAAAATTGACAATGATGTGATTAATCCTCAGAAAGAATTGATACAATAAATGACGTAATAGATAAAAAGGAGCGTAATGTTACCAGGGCAAAGAAAGATTTATTACTGCCGCTTTTTGTATACATAGATCTGGTTCAAAACGTTTGATTGTTATCGTTTTGGCAAATTTCAAAAGATTGGAGTTTGACTGTTTGTTAATCATTGTGAAAGATTTCAGTATATCGACTTCATATCCTGTGTCAAGGAGATGTCATCACCGTTGAATTTATGTCGAATAAAATAGGTTTCTAATTTGCTGTGGTTTCTTTGGGTTTCTTATCCTCACGTTTTCCATATTTCTCAATAAATTTCAGTGGGTATCCGTTATCTTTTAAACATATGTGTAGAATTGTGGTCTACTATGCTATTAGTACTGCGCTAGTAATATGCCTAATCCTAAAATTGTAGACTTTTCATGATATAACTGCCTAGTCTATAAGATCTTACGTAGAAGTCATACCACCTTCTACACCAACTCATCATATCGTAGCAATCACCAGTACATGATGCCGAACAAGCTTAGGCTAGTGACAGAACAATATATTTAGTATGAATAAAAGACATAGGTTAACATTCAACAAGGACCACACCTGCAAGGCCTGGCCATGCCATTCGATGAACTCCAATTTAATCAATTCCTTGTTCCCGACTTTTCCATCGTTAGGTATTTCTCCGCGTTAAATATTGAATGTCTGTTCTCTGAGTAGTTTCGTGTTCAGCTTTGAGGATTGTGTAGTTATGGTTCAATGTCCCTACATATGTTAACATTCGTTACTTCCTCTTTTAGTGTGTCGGAAGTATATATTTCTTCTGTTCTGTGAAACAGTGTTTCAACAAGTGCACTTTTATAACTGATTAGACAAAAGCTATCGAATTTGAAAAAATCCCGATCCATGTGTCTTTCTTATAAACTGAACGTTGAACTACGCTATCCTTCCTTCGTTTTATTGTGACATCGAGAAAATTGAACTTGTTATCATTTTCATGTTCCATAGTAAACTGCATATTTGTATGGGCTTCGTTAGAATATTTTAGCAGACTTGTTGCATGTTGTTGATTATTACGTACGATGAAGGTGTCACAGACATACCTCGAAAAATACATCATTTCATCAACCACTCCTTTGAGCTTGGTTCTTTCGAAATTAGCCAAGAAAACATCCGCTAGGACAGGACATAACGGACTTTCCATTGCTAAACCATTAGAAGATACGGTTACAAGTACTATGCTTTTAAGGTCAGTATAACAATATGACGAGTTTGAATAGACTTTTAGGTACGAAGTGAACAGGGCTCGAAGCGATCGTAACCATTTCAAATCTTTCGGACAAGGCATTGAAAACAGGAGACGTGTAAAATAGTCTCTCACAGAGATACTGGCAGTTAACGTCTCAAAATCTTTAACTTGGTGACCGCATTTGGACTTAGCTTGTGCAATCCTGTGCTCCTATGAGAATGCAGCCTATTCTTTCATCTAAGTGGCTTTGGTCCGTAGCATTTAATACTGATCATGTGAGAATGACAGACGCTCCCAGAATATTTTTAAGGCATATTAAATCTTTTCATTTTATAATAAAAAAAACAGGGGACATGCTACGAAATGTCAGATGCCAAAAAACAAACAGTCGATTACTTCTGCTCAGAAAATGTTCGAAAGTTATCTTTGACTGTATTTCATCAAATCCAGTCTTGTTATATAGAACAGAAAATCAGCTAAACTCTTCCATACCTGCTTTTATTTAGTCTCGAGAAATTACATGTCATTGGAGTTGGTTTACGAGCACTGTAGAGAAATATTTAACGTTGCTTCATTGAAACTGTTCAATATGTGAGCGCGTATCGTGTAAATGTACGTTACCACAATGTTAAAACTACTTGGTCGGTACATTTTATATGGACTGCCAAATTGAATGTAGATGACATCGCACAAGTTAGTCGCTTGCATTTCAATAATTGTGTTGTATGACAGCTACATTATTGGTGATTTTATTACATATATGAGTATCACGTAATAATGTCCAGGTTGTCATTTATTTTTAATTCAAATTTACTGCGAAATATCAAACACATGAATTTTTTAGATCTCTTAATGACTAGGGATAGTATAATGGGAAGAAAATTGTCAGAACTATGTATTGGCTGTTAAGGTGGATAGTGATACTCGCCTTCAGGTCTGCATATCTCACATGAGTACTTTGTTTCTACACTTTCAGTGAAACGAAAACCTCAAAGTAAGACTACAGCACGGATGTCTCCGTTATTCTTTGCGTCTAGATCCACTGGTGGGTAGTGTACATTAAGTATGTTTTCCTATTTTATAAGTAGGCATTTAGATGCTTTGCTCGATCTCATATATATTTGTTTTAGCAGCATCGCTCACTGACATCCAAACATAAACAATATATATCTATATTGTGTCCCTTTTGTATATGTATTCTGTAGTGATGGTGCGGCCTAACATTTATCACTGACTAAACATACACAAGAGCGTCCCAAAAAGGAGTAAAATAAGATCTTACAAAAAGCATTTACTTTGTGACTGACTCGAGGAAAACTAAAAAAGTTAATGTATCTGCATAATGCTGCCGACTTCAAATTACGTCTATTTTATTAGTTACTAGCCCCTTTCTTCCAAAAGCCATGTTTTGCAGTCGGAAAGACGGGGGGGACTATTGTCCTGTATAATTGTTTTTTAAGACTGGTAGATATATCACCTACCCTATGTGTGACATGTTAGTGAAGAACATCGCTTGAGGTTGCCAGTCCTGATGACAGTTTCAATAAGCGTCGACTCAACTTATAATATTTAAGCACAGCGCCTTCGGAAGGTTTACGTACTTCGGCATTATTTTTAGTGACGAACTGAGATGAAGTATCCCGGTTGATCTAGTCAAATGAAGCTTTAGAACTGGGATATAAATTGTCGGACATCGGTAAGTATGAGTTTATTCTAAAACTGATGAAAGGTAAGTATCCAATAGATAGAATCGATTCCAGTTCTGGAACCATCCTAGTTTTTCTGTTTGCTCTCCACACCCTTCAGCGTTAGATTATTAGTAAGCTCTGTAAGGTCACTGAATTTCATCTGAGTGGGTTTTACGTTTTCTAGTGTACTGCTTAAACCCTGCTAGATTACGACCTTCCTGCCACCGTACCGATTTACAGTTGGCTGTGAATCCTTTCTATGTAATGCAGCTGAATCCCGAAATTTACTACAATGTGTTCAACATTTGACTACAGAATACTAAGTTGAAGTGCTAATAATTTGACAGCTCATAACATCTTTTATATATTTCTGGTTAATCACTGGCTATATAATCAAGAAAAAAGTTTAAGACCTGTCAATAAGCAATAAAAGCTAACGTATACATAAATATGACGGTGAGTGTCAATATTTAGTTAAAGATAAGGGTTTAGTTTATCTGCTGCACCACCACTGATTTTGCCCCATATCACCTAGGATTTACAATCACAAACTACGGTTATTTCACGGACCCTAACCATACAACCAACACCTTCCTAAACATCTAACCTCAAACAACTCACTCCGTGTAGTCGAACTAGGTGTTCATACTGACTATTCTTGAAGAGGCTTATTGCAGTTAGGGAGTAGACCTCAAGAATTTTTGTATGAGCACTCGAGGCGTTCAGTAAACTGCTTTTTGTCAGGATTGTGTTATGTACATGCTGAGCTTGTAAAGGATTCTCTAAATAGGTCAACCCCTTAAAAATAAGATTATAAGCATTTAATGGGATAACATCTGTGATAAAATTATACAAATTGTTGAGAGTGGATAGCACTAACCAGCGCCATTGAATCAGTCTAAATATTACAATTCTAAAATGTTCGTAGTATGTCGGTCCTATTGAAGCATCCCGTATCCGTGTTAAAGTGTCTGTTGTTTTTAAATTTGTTTTTGATAATAATCAGGTAATATTTACGTTGCTGTGGGTGACTGTTCTTATTTTAATACCGAACACTATACCTGTCAATGTTTAGCATGGCGTAATCCTTGTTGAGAAATCGCTAGTCCAGAAATCTATTTTAGTTGGATATCTACTTGATAATTTCACATTTCCTGCAATTTGTTCACCTTTAAAGTTTTAACCTACCCTTTAAAGTCCTAATTCATCTAGTTAACTAAAGGGATAAAAATAATTCAGTTTTAGCTTTTTGAACTTCCTTTTATACATTAAGCTATAATATCTGTAAACCAGCAAATGTAATGATTATGTTCATCATAATCAGTCGGTTACATCGTAGAACCTGGTACGTATGAAATTGTTAGGCCAATTCCCAGAGTAGTAGAGACACAACACTCAGTGGTAATAGAGAAGTTTGGCTATCGAAGATACGATTCAAGAAAACATAAACCAGCGGAACAAAAGGTTATGGGTAATTCAGAAGCCTAGATTTTAGGGGTATACAAAGAATGGCTGCACCTACGCCATCGCAAACGATTTTGAGCTATGTTATCCAAAGTTCCTAACCACTGGTTACGATAATCACGCGTCCTAATAATTTATTATTTATTTATTTGAACACATAAATATTGGTACAAGAGAGCGCCAATATATATGCGCCACACAAAACAATGGGAATTCGAAGAGAAGTAGAAAAAAAAAAAAACTAAGGAACGCAAAAGAAAAAGAGAGTAATGACGAAGAGGTACAATCAGAAGAAATCTTTCAGGTAAAGGAGACACAACCACTTTTTATGAAGAAAGTAAAAGAAGGTTACAGCAGGATCGCCACTGGCTTCTATTCTGAGCCATATCTGATAACGTCTCTAGCCACTGTGTAGCACCATCTCTCGGACCCCAGCCAGGGAGTCGTGAAGGACCAACACAAGCCAGTCCTTTGCAGCTTTCTTTCATGCCACGACACCATGTCATGCACTGACCACCTCTCCGCTTCTTCCAACCAGTCCCAGAGTCGGCAAATAATGCACGACGTGGAATTCTCTGGGACGACATTCGGAGAACATGTCCAAGCCACCGAAGTCGGTGTTTCAAGATGGTGACACCAATTGAGTTATCATCTCTGTGCCCGAACACACGATGCCGAACCTCTTCATTACTGACATGTTGTTGCCACTGAATGTCAGCAATCCTTCGGAGACAGCGATGATCGAACACAGAGAGTCGTCTAACGTCCTCAACTCGGAAAGGCCAGGTTTCACAAGCATAGAGCAAAACTGCTCTCACCGACGCGTTGTAGATCCGGCCTTTTACAGCCAGACTAACATCACGAAGGCGCCAAAGGTGGCCCAGATTGGCATAAGCCGCTCTGGCTTTCACTATTCGTGCATTGATCTCATCACTCACACCCCCACCAGCACTTATGCAGCTACCCAGATACACGAACTTCTCAACTACGTCTATCTGCTCACCATCCAGGGTGAGTACAGGATTAGAATCCTGCCAGTCTTGTAGAAGTACTTTGCACTTCGAAGGTGCAAAGCACATACCATACCTACGGACATTGATTGCCAACTGATTAAGTGCGGATTGCATGCCTTGGGCATTATCGCACAGTAAGACAATATCGTCCGCATACTCAAGGTCGAGAAGTCTTTCTCCAGGCAACAGATCCACACCACCATTACTTACATTCATCAGAGCTGTTTCCAGAATGTCATCGATGGCAAAGTTGAAGAGGAATGGTGAGATTGGGCAACCCTGTCTAACCCCACTGCTCGAATGGAACAATGGAGAGAGGTGGTTGTATGCCCTCACTCTGCCTGAGGTGTTTTTATACAGGGCTTTTAGGATGTTAATAAACTTCTCAGGCACACCCTTCTTCAATAGACAATCCCAGAGAACAGTCCTATCCAACGAATCGAAGGCAGCCCTGATGTCAAGAAACACTACGATTGTTGGCCTTTGAAAAGTATGGCGGTGTTCTAACATTTGGCGGAGGGTGAAGATATGATCAATACATCCTCGACCAGAACGAAACCCAGCCTGCTCCTCGCGAGTCAATCTTTCTCGGGTTTTGAACAACCTACGAAAAATGACGGAAGCCAATAGCTTGGACGCAATCGGAAGTAAACTTATCCCCCGATAGTTGTTACAAGAACGACGTGAACCCTTTTTAAAGATAGGGACAACTATCGACTCATTCCATGACGTTGGTACACTCTCTAGTTCCCAAACCTTTGTAAACAACGTCGTCAATTCCTTAGTCAAAAAGTCACCACCATCTTTAAAAAGAGCCGGAGGTAAGTCATCTGGGCCAGATGATTTGTAACGCTTCAAGAGTTGGAGTTCCTTGCGGACTTCCTCCTCATTTGGTGGATCAGTCGTCACCGGCCATGGAGGGCAGGACAGTCTGACCGACGTTACCGGAGCAGCAGGCCAGTTGAACTGCCCTTCGAAAAATTCTGCCCATCGTCCAAGACGTCGATGGATGTTAGTGATTGGCATCCCATCATCCTCGCAGATTGTTTCACTCACACCAGACTTCTTGCTGCCAGTGGCTCGGATGAGTTGGAAGAGCTTCCGGTAATTACCAGATGCAGCTGCTGCTTCCAGCTCATTAGCACGCATCGACCACCAGGCTTCTCGGTCCTTACGCAAGCTTTGCCCGATTTCCTTACGTAAAATCCTTCGTTTATGGTCAAACTCACGGTTACCCGGAGTAGACCGACGGGCTTCAATGAGTTGTAAGGAACCAGAAGAAACCCAGTGCTTAAAAGCGGGACGTTTCGCAAACCCACAACTGACTGTTCCCGCCATTTTCATGGCGTCATGCAATTGCAACCAATGCTCATCTATACTTTTCGGTGGAGTGGTAGCTAGCCTAGAGGCTAGCTCGGTTCGATACTTACTTGCAACAGAAGTTGCAACCAGCTTGCTAACATCAATCCGTTGATGGCGTTCACTTCGTTGTCCACTGAAAAGTAAGGCAAGATTGGCGCAGACCAAGGCATGGTCAGAGTCCAGATAGGTACTCCAAAAGGAGCGGCAGTCTTGTACACAACCACGCCAGCGGTAGCTGATCGCGATGTGATCAATCTGAGTCCAGGCTTGAGATGCAGAGGGAGGACGCCAGGTGGCACATCGGCGATGACTGTGCCGAAAGTTAGTGCTAGCCAGAAACAGGTTGTGGTCTGCGCAAAGTTGCAGTAGACGGTCCCCGTTATCTGACCTGCGACCAACGAGTCCCCATCGGCCACCTAAACGACTCTCTTCTGTGCCTAGACGCCCGACCTGAGCATTCAAGTCTCCGGCTAGTACTACAATATCTGTCGAACGCACTTTCTGGAGAAGAACTGATAACTGGTGGTAAAACTCATCCTTGATTGCATCCGGGCTGCAATCTGTCGGGGCATAGGCGTAGATGACGAAAAGACATCGTTTCTCACGCCGATTTCTTCTCACTTTGATGGAACTTTCTAATCTAACAGCACATAACCGACTGTTAATGGGGATCCAATCGACTAGTGCTGCCTCAGCTCTAGCGCTTAGTGCGACACCAACGCCAGCAAAACCAGACGAAGATGCCACAGGGTCCCCGGATAAGCGCACGTAAAACAAGCTTTTCGAAGCGACAGATGGAGATCGAATTTGTAGTACTTCGCCAGAGTCTTGAATACGGGTCTCGGATAGACAACACACGTCGATATTAAGACTTTCCAAAGACATAGCCAGCCCTATCTGTTGTCCGACCTGCATAAATGTGCGAACGTTGAAGGCAGCCAGTTTGAATGATGCACGTGGTTTCAGAAAATCTGCTTCAGTCCTCGTATTCGGTGGTAACATACAATTTTCAACCGGACAGTGACTCGAGAACGTTTAGATACAGTCGGAATTCCACCAAAGACGAGCCGCTGTATAAGTATAAAAGAAGGTGAATAATGTGGAAAATAATAATAATAATGATAATAATAACAATAATGACAATAATAGTAGTAATAATAATATTAGTATTAATAATGACAATAATTGTAGTGATCATAATTTGAATCAATTGATTGTTTTTCAAAGCGACAAAAGTAGTTTCCATAGACATAAACAGTTCATCATTTGTGTGTGGGCTGTGATACTGCCCGGGTGCCCAAACCGAAGCAGGTGGTTATCTTAGGGGGCCACTCCCCGAGCCTTTGACCTAAAGGTCTAACCCACAAGGCAGTGGAGCATCGTAAGGAGATGCAGTCCCATGGTAGCCGGTGACCAACGATTGGTTCATACGCCATTCGTTCCCGCAGGATGCTGGAGCCCATGTGCACCATTGGTTTGGAATCCGGTTAAAGCGCCGGACATTCGCTTTTCGTCCTCTCATTTTCGTAAACAACACCCCCGCCACGAGAAGGCAATGAGTAGGACTTCCCTGGCAGAGGCTATATACGCGTGGCCGTGTGAGAGTATTTCGAGAGGGAGAGCGGACTCTCCCCACTCTCGGCCGTACCAGGGCATTCAGGGGGCCGCGTCCTAATAAAGTAGTTTACACCTATTAATATGGTCGTCACTACTGTTTTCACTAGTCAGAAATAGATTTTTGTTTCACAATTCTCACCTTTTTATGATAATAACTGTCATTTTGTCTTGCTAATGTTCTACATTTGATCTTTAAATAATAATTTAATCATAGTTAGAATTATTTCATCCAGCGCTACCGTGGTAACAACTCCCAACCTATGCATAAAGAACATTTTAATATCACCATGATTAACATAAGTTCGTAACCTTCTGGTCTCTCAAACAAACATTAACCATACTTAGAAAGATGAGCTTACAGTTTCTAATATCGAAACATTACTCATCTGAACATTTTTAGCTTGTCATCTTGATTACTTTTACTAAAAATTAAAAAAATAATTCTCAATGTAATAATTTTTAAGATGGTGGCATATTATCTGATGTCTTACCCCATACAGTCAACTACCTCTCCTTTTTTTGCCATTTGCAGAGGTATGCTAGAAAGACGCGGATATCGTTCACTTCATATTAGTCGTTTACAGTTGAAACGATGGTCATCTTATCTTGCTACTGCATTTGCGGTACTTGATAACTTTCAATGTGTTTATTATTAATTATCACATGTTTAGATTCTCTCATTTGTTTTTATTTCTGGTGGAATTTGGCTACTTGAAAATAATCGGATCGAGTCTGAAATTATCGGCAGGCGATATTACTACGAAGAAGGAGTTTTGTTTGTAATCATTGGGATACTATTGCTTCTTTCGCTTGTTTGTCAAGCTTTTATGATTCATCTATTGTTTGTTGCAAAAAAGCCATGGAGATTTACTGAAGTCAAGGTAAAGAGAGCAATTGCACTGGTATGGTATATGTTGACATAAACATAATTATCTTATACAGTATTTAGTTTTTCTGTTTGCAGTGACAATTCCTCATATTTATTGTTTGTATCATGTGAAAACAATTAGAACAAAAGTACGTACATCTTATTTTTATTTACAGCTTTTGCTTCATTACTCACATACATGTTAGTTGAATAATAACTACTTATTAGTAGATATCTCGCTCTAACAATATTCGTGTAATCATAATGTTCGTTTTAGCTGTTAAGATAATCTTTATATCAAATTATATTGTCACGTCCAATACAAAGCGACTTTTTCACTGTTTACTAGTGGGTTAGGCGTCTGAGAAGTTAATCTCATTTATAAAAACGTTTGTTGTAGATTATTCATTCGAATTCGATTCAGCAACTAGTATTGAAGTATTACTTTAAGAGTTTGAGCTTTCTGTATCCATCTAGATACCATCTTGAATTTAACCTTATCATATAGGTAAAGTTTGAAAATAACTTTTTATGGGTCGTCAAATAATTTCTTTTGCAGTTCAATCTATCCTTTCTCCCCAGAATATTCTATTATGTATTTTGATAGTAAATCCAACTGATAATCATACTACCCAGTTTGCGTTCCAAATACCGTCGAATATTTTATTGGTAAAACGACTTTCTGTTTGCATTACTTCTTTGAGAATATACAAAAACATCTTTAATATAGAGAAACTATATTTTTTTACATTTTGTTACTTATATATATTGTGAACTTTCACTATTACATCACCGTTATAACAAGATATCCTATTATTGAGGAACTCGTTAGTAACTCCATCTCATGCGAAACATACTACAGATTACTTCAAACCACCTAATGGCCTTTGACCGTTCAATTAGTTCGGAAATTTATGTACTCTAGTGGGTCTGAAGAAACATGTTAATTACTTCTACAGTCATTTGTGAATGGGTCAACATGAAAGATCTGATTGAATTATTTTACGGATATTAAACATCAGGATATAAAGTATACTTGTTAATATCTCTTCATAACTAAAACAACGTTAACGTTTTGTTCAACAGTTTTATCTGAGCGTTTTTAGAAAAAGAGTCCTTATATAATATGAGTAAAATTTCAAGATTATTCTATTTCAAGCAGTGAAATATTCGCAAATGTAGTGCTTAATGTGAGATTATTATTCAACTAATTTGTCTTGACAATATTTGATTTCTTTTTAGTTAATATGGTCAATTAAAGAACAAACTGAAGAGGCTTTGATTAGTTTGTACGGATTCGAACCTGATTTTACATCTGCATGGGATCATCTACAGTCTCAGGTCAGTACATATAGAATGATTGGTATCGGTTAATTTGTCTTTTTAGTGGACAACCGAGCATTAATACGACATATGTAAAAAGGTTAACCAAATACTGGATATGTACAAAATATTCACGGTACTATTTCATAGTTACTGTTTTTTCAACTTTATTCGTTCTTTTCGAACCAAATTCTTTCTTTAAGATACGCTGCAGTAGAAAAATCTGGATTTATTTTGAGCGTTTTATTATGTGGTAATAAACTGAATTTCTTGCTTACTAATGAATGTTCTCTGCATCTATATAATCTAAGTAACTTGAAACATACTGTCATCTTTTGCTTCTCTCTTGTTTTATTATACTGATAATTTTACTATGAGATAATGAATCGTATTTCAAACCGATATTATTATTTCTATCAAGAATGACTAGTTCAGAATAACAGTTAAGTGTAAATGACATGGATTAAATTTAAGGCTAATGAAGCGTCAACAGTTGAATGATTATTTTTAAATCATGTTAGTCCGAATAAGGAGTTGAAAATTTTGTTTATTTGATTTTGTGTTGTATTTAGTAATTCGAATGTTAGTAAAACCATTCACTGGCAAATTCTATACTTCTTATTTAATACGAATTTAGGTCATATCGGTGTTCATTGTGACTTGGCATGACTATGTATTGAAATGACAAATTTTATTATTATTATTATTATTATTATTATTATTATTATTATTATTATTATTATTATTATTATTATTATTATTATTACCATATATTACTGGCCATGATAATTAAAGTTGATAAATAGATTATATTTCGAGTTTTACAATTCTTCACTTCCTTTGAAATTATCCTGAATCGTGAAAGTAATTCACATGTATATATTTATCGTATTTAGGTCATTTATGCATAACTATTGTCAAGATATATCTATGTCTAAACATATACGCACATTTGTTACCTAGTAGTTGTCTCCATTGGACCCCATTAACCAAGTAATTAACTTACTGAATAAATACAAGAAACTTATACTTGAAAGTGAATTACTTATCCTCTTATTGTGCGATTTGTAAATAATACTCTTAAGGTCACTCATTTTCATCATATTGAATTAAACGCATATTGTATGAAAACTTCATTTTTAACTTCTATGCATCAACACCAGATCATTTAAATCGTACTATTCTACTAAATACTATTGTGTTTTATCGATTTTTTTGCTTAACCAGTTGGTGATTAGCGTCCGCAAGTGTGATATACATTTAATGTTTTCAGATTGTTAATTTAGTTTGTCATGATCCCCAAGTATCTGTGATTAAATTTACGTATTGTCAAAAAATTTGTATTCTTTGCGTTAGTGCGGGATTTCAGATGAAGTTATGATGGATGATATCTATGTTCTGTTAGAAAGGATCTAAAGTGTCAGTACAATAATTCAAACTACTTTAAGCGGGATTTATCCATCTCTGGAAGATCTTATTTATAGTTGTGCACCATTTGCGTAATCTCTTTATATCTGTAACAGTTCATTTTCCGAGTCTAGAACGCTTAATGACTTTGTGTTCAATTATCACTGTTATCACACTATTGATCTCATATAGTTAAAAACACTTTCTAAGTAATAATCAAGTTTTTAGTTGTGTTTGGACATAACAAAAACTTTTATTTATCCTAGGACAGCTTGTTCTGTTGTTAAAGTATGCTTTAAATATACATATCCATAGATTTACATAATTGCTTCATCTTTAAAGCGTAAAATAAATAGCAAAAGTTAAGAACCTAAACAGTTGAATGTAAAGTTTTCCATGAAATAATTAATATTTACTATGCGTTCAATGGAGAATGTTGATAGGTGGCCTATGCTCCTTTATAAGAGGTAACAGGCGCGCGAACGCCTAACCTCTAGACCACTGACCCGGCATCCAACGGTGTTAATTTCTAACTTTGACATAAATCAAACTTTCGGAGATTTATGTCCATGATGACTGGTTTTCAATGACATCCCAAAAATTTACTTTGGATACTCATAGGATTGGTTAAAGCTAGACATTGACACCATTGGATACCGGCTCAGTGGTCTAGAGGTTAAGCATTCATGAGCGAGACCGATAGGTGCTGGGTTCAAATCCTGCGGGTGGCATCGTGGATGCGTACTGTTGAGGAGTTTCATACTCGGACGAAACGGCCGTCCAGTCAGTCAGTCAGCTACAACGTAGGATCAGGCACATATGTGCATCGGTCCAGGTTGCCATACCTCATTAGCACAACAAGATGAACACCGGATTCATAGGAGTGGTTAGGTCAAAGGTTGCAATAAGGATATAGTATAGGAAGGAAGAATTAGTTCGTAGAAAGAAAGATATGAAGTGATTTAATCTCTTAGTTTAAGGGAAGACAGGGAGTGTATACACCGACGCCATTGTGATCGATTCTGAGCCATGTCACCAAGAGTCTCCAACCATTGGTTACGAAAGTCACGCGGACCCCGACCAAGTAGTCTCCATCTACCAACATGGCTCAGACTAGAAGTTAGTGACTTCAAGCACTGATGCCACGTTTTGGTTTGGCCGCCCCTAACTTTCTTCCAACCATCTCCAATACCGGATAGCATTGCACGTCGTGGTAATCGGTGTTCAGGCATACGTAATACGTGGCCCAACCATCTCAGTCGATGAAGATTCGTAACCTCATCAACTGATTTACCATCATTCCCTAATACCCTGCGTCTAACCTCACTATTACCTACCCGGTGATCCCAGCAGATGCCAGCAATATTTCTAAGGCATCTGTGGTCAAATACTTGTAGCTTACGGGTGTCTTCTACTCTTAAAGGCCATGTTTCGCTGCCGTAAAGTAAGACAGAACGGACTGCCGCGCAGTATACTCGTCCTTTTATTGATAGACGGATATCTCGCCTCCGCCAAAGGTGACGTAAGTTGGCAAAAGCCAAACGAGCTTTTCGAATCCGTGCTGAGATTTCGTCAGACACCAACCCATTAGGGCTGATCAGACTTCCAAGATAAGTGAAGTTGTCAACGCGTTCGACTACTTCACTCCCTATCCTTAGTTCAGGTGTTGACGCACACCAGTCGTGAAGCAACAACTTGCATTTAGAGGGAGAGAAGCGCATCCCAAACATTCTGGCATTGTTGCTTAGTGCTACCAGAAGACTCTGCATTTTGTCAGCGTCTTCACCAAACAGGACTATATCATCTGCGTATTCTAAGTCGATAAGTGGACCTCCTGGAAGGAGATCAATACCCGAGAATTCAGTCGACGAGAGTGTTATTTCCATCAATAGGTCTATGATGAAGTTAAACAAAAATGGAGAAAGTGGACAGCCTTGACGGACACCACTTGAAGTTGCAAAAGTAGATGACAGTTCGCCATAAGCTCTGACTCGACTAGTAGTGTTCGAGTAAAGAGCCTTCACAAGGTTTATGTACTTCTGAGGTACGCCTTTCAATGACAGACACTGCCACAGAGTCTCGCGGTCTACAGAGTCAAATGCTGCTTTTAAGTCAAGAAAGACCACCATCGTCGGACGCCGATAGGTATGCCTGTGTTCTAGAACCTGACGAATGGTGAATATGTGGTCGATGCAGCCACGACCAGGTCTAAAGCCAGCTTGGTTCTCTCGAGTTTGTAGTTCACGAGTCTTAGTTAGGCGTCTGATAATTATCGAGGCCAGTATTTTAGATACTATGTTTGTTAAACTAATCCCTCTGTGGTTGTCACAGGATGATTTTGACCCTTTCTTATATATTGGGACGATGAGTGATTGCGACCAGTCAGATGGGATAAAGTCTAATTCCCAGATCTTAGCTAAAATATTAGTCAACCTAATCGCTAAAATTGGACCACCATCCTTAAAGACCTCTGGAGCCAATCCATCTGGACCAGCTGCCCTTCCTCGTTTCAGATTAACTATAGCCTTTTGAACTTCAGCAAGAGTTGGGGGACCTACTTCAATGTTCCATTCACATTGTCTGGGAATGGAGGGTAGTTGTAGAGTAGCTGAAGGCCAGTTGAACTGTTCTCTAAAATGTTCCGCCCATCGTTCTAAGCGTCTGGACTGGGAGCAGATGAGAGTATCATCTTTTTCCGAAATAATCTCACTTACACTTGACTTATTAATTCCAGTTTCTTTTATTAGTCTGTAAAGCTGTCTTGTGTTCCCTATAGTCGCCGCCTTTTCCATCTCTTTTGCTTTCGTTACCCACCACTGCTCACGGTCGTTCCTTAGACTTTTTCTTAACCTAGATCTGATTTGTTTTCGCTCTTCATCATGTTCAGAACCTGATGGGACGAGTTTGCGAGAATCCATCAGTGTGACAGACCTTGAAGAAATCCACTGGTTCCTTGCAACTCTGTGGTTTAAGTCACTAATAGATGTCACTGCTGTTTCCACAGCTGATTGTATGCCCTTCCAAGCAACATCTGGGTCAGCCTCGTCTTCACAACTACCTAAGTGTGACCTCAGTTGTTCCTGGAACCTACTTTTGGTTTTCTCGTTACTCAACTCAGTTCTAACGGGTCTTTTTAATGTGGCTTTTTTGCGTCCAGTGAGGCGCAAGCAGATGCGTGCCCGTATTAGGGCATGGTCGGAGTCCAAGCAGGTACTCCAGAATGAGCGACAATCTTCTACCGACCCTCTCCAACGATGACTGATGGCAATATGGTCTATTTGAGTCCATCGTTGGTTTGGTGTAGGGGGTCGCCATGTTAGACGATGTCTCTCCTTATGCTTAAAATTTGTGTTTGCTAAAAATAAACGATTGTCTGAGCATAGCTGCAGCAGACGATCACCATTATCTGTTCGCTGTGTCGGAATACTAAAATATCCACCTAAATGCCTTTCTGTTTGGTTTAAGCTACCTATCTGAGCATTAAAATCACCTGCTACGAGTACTATGTCTGAGCGTTTAGCTTTCTGAAGAAGTTCAGAAAGCTTTCTGTAAAATTCATCTTTCACTTCATCTGAGCTGCAGTCAGTGGGAGCGTAGACAGAAACGACAAAAAGGCAACGACGTGTGTCCCTATCCTTCCGAGTTCTTACGTAGCCGTTCAGCCGAACAGCACATAGACGACTGTTGACGGGGATCCACTCTAGCAGTGCTTGTTCGGCCCTCATGCTTAGTGCTATGCCTACACCTGCCAGTCCACGAGAACTGGCCATCGGGTCACCAGATACACGGAGGGTGTATCTCGTTGACTCTCCGTTCTGCCGAGGTGAGGTCAAGTGAATGACCACACTGGGATCCTGTATGCGTGTTTCAGAGACACAGCATACATCAATGGAAAGAGACTCTAGGGTTTTAGCCAAGGAAGCCTGCTGACCGATTTGACATAGAGTGCGTACGTTGAAAGCTCCAATGTGTAGTTTGGAGCGAGGTTTCAGTAGACCTGGGACAGAGTTTTGAGCACTAGAATCGTTGGCTATGGTGACACTTGAGGAGGAAGCCGAAGGAGGAAGTTTAGGGTTGAAAGTCGATGTAGGAGGAATAATAGGAATTGAAGAGGAAGGTTGATTATGAATACAGTGGTCTTGGGTGCTGTTAGAGGTATGAGGGCGGTTATCACTTCCCGGTTGCCCACACCGTGGAAGGGTTCTTCTGGAGGTACCTGAAAAGGAAATTGGATTAGAGGTGGTCTCAGTGACCTGAGAGCGTGACCGCAGTGCCCAAGGGACAACTGCTTGAGGCCGGTCGCGCACGGCCTTTTTGTGGAAGGTTTTCGACGTGTTAGCTCCGTTCTTCAAAGGGCCTTACCGCCGGAGACGGAAATCCGTGAGGTAAGGTGAGGTGTGCATTTTTAGGGTCGACCTTTTCTAACCCCACCCCTCCTTGTGGGAAGGCAGCATCGCTGTCATGCTGGTTGTCTGAAGGAAACACCTTACTGCTGTCACACCTCTGTACAGTCAGCAGTACGACTTCGCCTTCGGACCTTGGGTTTGTTGCTTTTAGTCTTACCGCTCTTCAACCGACCTGTCTGACATGGTAGGACCTTGAGGAACGGTTGTTCCAGTCAGTATAGCTCGGTTGCTTCATCACGATAGGCAAGCCCGACCACCACTTCAAGGTAGCAACAACGGTCATGAATTCAACTAATAAACATTTTTATCTATTTTAACCAGTTCAACACAAAATTATTGTCTAGCAAGAAAAATTATGTTGATATTATATATATTCAAAACTGAGAGTGGATATCTATGGTTGCGAGATTTGTCAATGGCTTTTCTCCAGATATTGCTTACTTTGTTGGAAGTTACAAGAAAGCTGGATTATATAATAGTATTTATATTTTTTCTTACCAATTCTAAGATCATATTTAATTACCTATGTGATTTGTAAATCAACCAAAGTATAATTCAAAGTATCGCCTTACAAAAGGATTACCAAAAGTAAATAAACTGACACAACTATTCGTTTATCCAAATAGTCATGATTTTATAACATGACAACAAGAAGGGTGGATAAGACCAAAGCTGTAGAAATGAAAAAAAGTGATTCATTAACCCCAATGAAAAGTTAGAGGAAAAGTACAAAAAGAATAGCTACAAACAGGGCAAAAGTTGAATAGATGCAGCTAAAGGAAAACGATGTGTAAATTCATCTGCATTGTGACTATTGGTTTTCGATTATATCACGAGTTTATAACTACTTTATCTGATTGCCTTACAAATACAGCTGCAAAATCTATGATTCCCTGCACGTTTTGAATGAACAACTAACTGCATCATAAAGTAATCCCACCACCTAACCTCATCATCATCATTCCATTAAGCTACGACTCGATCACAAGGAAGTCCTACTCAATGCCTTCTCGCGATGGAGGTGTTGTTTACAAAGTTGAGAGGACAAAATGCGAATATCCTGTGCCTCAACCGGGTTGGCGGATATAAAGGAGTTGAAAAACCCTGATTCCAAACCAATGGTGCACATGGGCTCCAGAATCCTGAGGAAACAAATGGTGTGTGAGCCAATTGTTGGTGACCGGTTACTATGGGACTGCATCTTCTTACGTCGCACCACTGCCTTGCGGATTAGACCACTATGTCAAAGGATCAGGGTGTGGCCTCCTGAGAAAATCAACTGTTTCAGTTTGGGCACCCGAGTAGTATTCCAGCCTTCACATACATGAGCATTCTCCATCGAACTCGATCCTAGGCAATATTCTCCAGTTACTACTCATCCTTTTGATATTTTGCTTTCAACAGTATAAATAATATTCGGCAGTTATTATGCTTCCGGATAATTAATTTTTACCAATTAATGTTGATTTATTTGAACAATGTCATTGGTTTTATTGGTAAATGGTCAGTTTTTGAATTTAAGTCTTTAAACAAATTAGTGTTTTGGTTAAATACATAATATTGACAAAAAAGTCCGTAAGATAGAGATGTACATTAGATGTCATTCGATTAGAATCTTATCAATTGTGTACAGTTTGCACATTAGTTGTTTAAAGCTGTTACATTTAATCTGTTTGTTCCTTCTTTGTCTTATGTAGTTAAACTCCTAAATTTACTTTGGATAAATTTTGATAACGTACTAGGATATGACGTTTACGAAAACCATGTGACACTTTAAATAACGATTTGACTGCATACTAACTAAGTGGTTAATAAAATTACACAAAAATGTGAAATATCCAAACTTATTTATTGGGCAGTGTACGAATAACAAAGATGATAAAGACTGAACAACATTATCCAAATACCCTCAGTATTACAAGTAGGATTGATATAACCCAAAATAGGTCTCATGTGAGGATCAGCTCTATAGTAAAGACTAACATTTTCATAATCCGTGACCAGGTCGTTCGCAGTGTATTGCATCAACCTAATCTCATGATCTTAATAAGCTTGGTCTTTGCATCATGCTTTCTAAAGACTATAGATTAGTCCTTGGAGCTGGTTATCGTTTTATTTTATATTCTCAGCCAGTGAAATCACAATCTTCATTTAAGTTATGATTGACAAATTTAGAAGTGAAAATGGTTTACATAAACAAATAGTTCAAGTCAGTGTTTAAAATGTATCAATTAATCGTTGATATCCCGTTTAGAAGCTATTATTTTAGAATTACACTCCAAAGGTTGTACGTATCAATAAACAATAATGATAAATCAGGTGAATGTTCAAAAATGACATATAGTCTCTTTTTGTGTAACAATTAACTAAGGAATTCAGTTTGGTTTGATATTAGTGTAAAAAAGACATGCTAAGTAGTCCGTGACCATCTAATTAAATGTGTGGTCGTGAATACTCGTGAGATTAAGCTTAGAACCTTAAGGCCATTTGGGAACTACGTTTACGTTTGTACTTCTCTACCTGACTTAAGACTATACTGCTTTTATTTTTACGCAACACATAATATTCTACAGAATTTCCTTTGTTAGGCATTACCGTAGTCACAATTAACTTTAATCAGTATTATATACTGTTCCCTAAAATTCCTACTCTTTTGGTTTCATCCGTTAGTATATGTTTAAAAATACACTGTGATTTTTTAATCTTTGGTCTCGCCTGTACTAGTTTCCTATGACTCTAATTCTCTGTAATCTAAAAAAAGCACACACCTTTTACCAGTGTGCTTGTTCCTAATAACTTTTCTTCCGTCAAGACTCATGTTTATTTGTCCTTTGTAGTGAACTTGCATCCAGGAAAATTTCCATTGAATTAGTGGCCAGCTATTGATCAACGCGCAGTAGCCCAAGTGCATTCATTCTTCATCTTTCCATAGTTCCTGAACACCGAAATTCCCTTATATATTTTAGTCTTATTTTTGTACATCTGCTCTTTCCCACTATTATTTATGCTGTTACCACTTTTACTACTCTGGAATTTATTTTTATAATTTTATCTCACTGCGTTGATATAGTGTGACGATTCGAACCGACACTCAGTTGACAGGTTTTACGTTTGATATGACTGATATGAATGATAAACAAATATGGTAATTCATTGTCTTAATGTTACTCAAATGGATTAATAGTGATGTATAAGTCGCTAAATAAAATGCTTTCGAATCTCAATAGTAACACTAATTTCCTCTAAAAGAAAATCTGGCATAAAGGCCTTTTGTTAATCTTAAAAGTCTTTATTCGTAAAATTTTTTTATCAGTAAGGGGTTGTGAATATTGTTGAATTTGGCTGAAATCATGAAGTGGTCAATGTTAGGCCACCATCGCGCGAGACCAGAGGTCTTGGAACTGAGTCCTGTTTCTGGGATCGTGGATGTACGCGGCTGAGGAGTCCCATAATAGGGCGAAACCACTGTTCAGTGCTTCCAGGGTTTCACTGGTAGCCTAACATTGATCGGTTCGTGATTTCAATAAGAAACATTTTAATTTTTGGGAGAATAAACCTTAAAATTGGATGAATAATAAACATTTTAGTGTAAATAAGTTACATGCTTCAGTAGTTACACTGTTTCTGTGTATCCGATTTTTCTAAAACGCAGTCTAAATTCTTCTCTAACTCTACATTCTAAATTTCTATTTACTAAGACAAAAATGAAAGATTTACAATAATTGAAGGAAATATTACAATTCATTCAACACGGATGCTCAACAATTTGTCAAGTTCACCAAATTGTTTTTCTCTGAAAACATTTTATTGTTTAAGCATGTATAGAAAAATATTGACAGATTATAGGACGTCATAGTTTAATTTTATTTTCATATTAAATTGATTACATTTAGAGTGAATGTTGTGGATTTTCGGGTCCTCAAATATATGCCTCTTCAAAATGGAAATACAGTCAACCTAATTCTTCAACTTTTATCAGCTTAGTACCTGATTCTTGTCTTACACTTAAAAGTTTAGAAGAACAAGTACTTGAAGATATAAAAACCAAGTCTGATTATGAAGAACCTAGACAAGTGACTTTTCAAAAAGTAAGTTCAATTAAATCTTATAAATAATATATATTTGTGTAAGTATGTTTAAGTTTTGTACAAAAATATAAAATTAATTTATTCACTTCAAAATATGACATCTTTAGCCTCCAACCATCAACTTCTACTGTTTTACAAGCACATTATTTAAAATAGTGACTGGACTTGTACCGCATATTCCTTCATCTTCTTTAGAGCTTCTAGTTTATTTCTTTATGTAGGACATTTCTTGAGGTAAGAGACAATACAATCTACCTAACACTTACTTACTTGCTTATTTACGCTTGTTACTCCCAATGGAGCATCGGCCGCCGACCAGCATTCTCCAACCCACTCTGTTTAATACATATCATAGTATGTCAGACACCATGCAAACACATTAAAAGCAGTGACAGTTGTCTTTCATCCTATTTGTACATGATTACATTAAATTATTTGGACTCATGTTTGAGTTAAGGAGAGGAGAATTCGCGTAGTACATCGGCAGTGACCTTATCAGAAGTTAGTTTTAACCAGGAACGCGTTGTCGTATGCGGAAAACTACAGATGACAACTCCCATTATCCAACTTTCTAATCAACAGGCTCCGACTGGTCGCTCGGGAAATTTCTTTTTCCCTAGTTTTCCTTTCTACACACCACAATACATGTTAGTCAAGCGTTGCTAAAGTCATTCATTTGGTACAATTCATCGTTATTTCGACATGAGTTATGATGTATTGAAGCGTGGACAGATATAGTGGAAAAAGTCAATAATTATTTTGGCTAAATTTCCTTTCCTATATCCACCTAATTGATTATTATCCTAGATCCACTCAACCAATCCTGCTTTTGATATGACAAGTAGTAATTATTGTCTTCAGAAAGATCTCTTCACAAGACTATCCATCGGAACCGTATATAAAAACATGTTCATACTCGTTTAATTAAATTTCATTAATATTCCATTTACAAGTTAAAAATATTCCAGAGAATAATGTACTAATAATGTTGATATATTTAGTACCATATTAAAAACTTAGACGTCCGATTTGGCTGAACGCTTCAACCAAAGGACAGAAAAAAGTATCGTTAATAATATATATAATCTCAACCATCTAATGCTTTTTCCTTCATTTATGATTGACTTTTAAATCAAAATGACCAGTCATTCATACACCTAGTATCCATGTTTATCACCTTGAAAGTCCCTGTCACCTTCTTTCTAATTACCATAATTTTTGAATATTTTCCTTTCCGATTTCTAAGGGGTGCGCAGAATTTCTTTATACTCATATAGAAGGTGTTCTAAGCGGTTCGTTTATCGTACCGGTTATTTCTCTTGTGATTGTAGTAAGTTTGTTATTTTTTACGTTTGTATTTTCTTGTGTATCTGTCATTGTTCTTTCATGTAAATTTAAGATAACTGTTCATATTGTACTCGGTTGAAAGAAATGGTCATTCCTAATAAAGATTTTGGTGGAGTTTCGTTATCTGCACTTGACTGTCTAATCATAGAGCTTTCATTATTCTTTTGAAGAACATCGAGAATGTAGAAACTTGATGTCTCACTTTCACCTGGTGTTTTTGCTGATGATGTTCAGAAGAACAATGGAAACTCCCTCTAGCTTATTCAACGAAACTCCATCCCAATCATCCACTTGAGCTATACATCTTGTGTACTAACCCGTAGTCCAAAGTGTGAAGAAGTTTTCATTTAAATAAAGGGAGTTTTACGAGTTGTCCATAGACGCAACATAGTAATCATGTAAATTCTTATATTTGTATACATCATATATACTTCATTTAACTTTGTAAGATTTCTTTGAGTCCAATTATTCTTTCTTTTTGTAAGTTTAAGTTGATTTCAGTAGCAACAAGCTATCATAGAAAATACAATTATCATAATTTTATATATATATTTATTTAAACACATAAACATTGGTACGAGGAGGCACCAAAGGCGTTTGCGCACACAAATTGTTCGATTTGTGTGATGACTGGAATACTACTCGGGTGCCCAAACTGAAACAGTTGATTTTCTCAGGAGGCCACACCCTGATCCTTTGACATAGTGGTCTAATCCGCAAGGCAGTGGTGCGACGTAAGAAGATGCAGTCCCATAGTAACCGGTCACCAACAATTGGCTCACACACCATTTGTTTCCTCAGGATTCTGGAGCCCATGTGCACCATTGGTTTGGAATCAGGGTTTTTCAACTCCTCTATATCCGCCAACCCGGTTGAGGCACAGGATATTCGCATTTTGTCCTCTCAACTTTGTAAACAACACCTCCATCGCGAGAAGGCAGTTAATAGGACTTCCCCGACAGTGGTTGTATACACGTGATCATGTGAAGGCATTTAGAAGAGGGAGAGCTGACTCTCCCCAGGGCATTTGTGGACATTATCATAATTTCCACGAATACATTAACACTTGACTAGATAATACGAATGGATATCGTAGACCACAATACTAGATATGATTAAATCACCAGGCTACATCACGTTATACAGAGGTACACAATTCTGACGGACAATTAAGAAGCAGAATTTAGAGACAGAATAACCGTTTATTAATTCCATGTGAAACCTATACTATAATAAATAATAAACTATACTATAGTGCGATGGTACCAAATACCCTGGCCGATAGTGGGGAGACTCCGCTCTCCCTCTCGAAATGCTCTCACATGGCCACGCGTATATAGCCTCTGCCAGGGAAGTCCTACTCACTGCCTTCTCGTGGCGGGGGTGTTGTTTACGAAAATGAGAGAACGAAAAGCGAATGTCCGGAGCTTTAACCGGGTTGGTAGGCATGGAGAGTCCACCTAGGGGAGTTGGAAAACCCTGATTCCAAACCAATGGTGCACATGGGCTCCAGTATCTTGAAGGAACAAATGGCGTATGAACCAATCGTTGGCCACTGGCTTCCATGGGACCACATTTCCTTACGCTGCTTCACTGCTTTGTGGATCAGACCTTCAGGTCGAAAGCTCCGGGTGTGGCCCCTTAGGAAAACCACGCTTCGGTTTGGGCACCCGGGCAGTATCACAGCCTTCACACATATCAAATGAGATTTGTGTGGCGCACATGTATTTGGTGCCTCCTTGTACCAGTATCTATGTGTTAAAATAAATAATAAACTACTATAGTGCGAAGATATCAATGATGGGAAAGGAGTTGACAATATTATATAATGTCTCTTTACATTTAACATTGCTGGACGTCTGTTTATATTTTGTCTCTGACCAATTCTATTTTGCTTCCATTAGTCACGCATCACGTAGGTTGACTGCTAAATTTATTTATATTTGAATCATTTAATAGGATTTAATTGTTTCGCATAATAATAAATAGTTTAATTCTGTGCTGGTGAATAATTTCTATTCACAATCGTTGACTTCTAACTAGTTTAATATAACAAACAAAATGTATTGTGGGACAATTATAGCAAAATCATAGTTAACAAATATGACACTTTGAAATAGATTGAAAAGTGTACATAACACATTAAATAAATACTTCTAAGATAACGTAAGTTATTCAATACTTAAAAAACCTTTAAAAAAGCAAGCTCATTCGCACCTCACTTGAACCTGTGTTACCTAAATTTTGCAACTATCAGTTTCTACACAAAGTTGTTCTGGACTCTGTTAACAAATTTACACTTCCTTCTTGATACTAAAACCAGTCTGTTTGATCATTTTAGCCCATAAATTTTATTTATCATTCTTAAGGTTGGGAAAATTGTTGAACCTTATTAAAATCACAAACCGATCTCTACAACCCTCATACTGATAATTTTTGGGTGCTTACTAGTGACTAGCATAGAGAGAAAAATTTTCAGATTCAAGTGAAAAGCTGTGACCACTTCAGTCCAATCGTGTTGCTTGTGAGAGAAACACCCACCTAGGATGGTAGCTAGCTGTGCAATATCATGGAACCCATACTAAGACGAAACAGATGTTCACTGCTTCCAGGTTTTCAGTGGTTGTCTAACTTAGATCCGTTCATAGTCTCAAATAAAATTTTTATTTAGTTGTAATTGATAATATATCATAACATTTATTTGATATTCTTCTTACTATCTTTCTCTTGATTACTTTCTCTTTTTTCCAAAAATAATTATTTTGCTCTATCTACTGTCTTCACAACAAATACTCAATTGCTCTTGTCCACTAAAACAACAACCAGTCTTTTTCATTTGTTCTTGGAATCGTTTTGTGTAATTTCGTGGTGGTTGGAGAAGAAATTTAAAACAATGAGAAAGATATTTAACATCAACTCAATTATCATCAGGCTGTTTTGATCTGATCTGATCTGAAGAAAATCTCCAGTTTTTTTCCTTTTTAAAGACCAAACTATAATTTCACATTTGCTTTCGTTTTTTTTCTTTACTTAATTTATTTTTTAGAAGAAATTGTTTATTTGCTATTACGAATACTAATATTATTGCTATTACCGTCACGACTTTTTTTTCTGTTTAGAAAGTTTATTTTTCAATCAGTTACTCGTTTTTTTTCACCATTAATTTTCTCGTTGATTTCAATTGCGAGAAAAAGTATCTGATCAAGTATGATTTTATCATTTTTATTATTATTTACTGCTTAGCCCGCCTTATTACTTTTATTACTCTACATTATTTTGTCTGTATATTCACTGATTTATACATACATGAAATGTATTAGCCTTTTATGATGAATAAATCAATTCATGATGATTATGATAAAATGATTTATATTATTGTTTTTTTTTCAAAAGAGAAACCTACTTAGTGTACATTATTCCATGCGATTATTTTAATGTATATTTAACTTTAAATTCTATCTTTTTTATGAAAGGCTAGTTATGTTATTCAGGTACTGTACTTTACAGTTCAGTGTTTGAAATTGAACGACTACAACTATACTTGAAAGACAGGTTTATCAACTTCTGTTTAGTATAACAACAGTGAAGAATAACTAAAGATGGTTACTGTTACACAGTGTCTTTGTAGATAATACCTTATCTATTTGCGCTAAACTCTAGTTTTAATGGGAACTCAATTGTTCATTCACATATAAATGGATCCTCTCTATTCACTCCCAGTAACATCTAAAGTATCATTTATTTGGCAAAAATTAAATCGTATAACCTTAGTGATAATGATCAGAGATAAGATTTATGTGTGCATTATTTAAAAACATCAAAAAACATTGGTAATTCTCTATTTCACCGTACACATATAGTATTTTACTAAAAAGTTAGTCATCAAATTCCAATAATTCGTTATTTGTATATATTTTTTCAATATGAATAAAATTCTAAAGCTAGAATTGTAAGATGTAAGCATACCAGATGAGTTTGTTTGTTTCCTAGCAAAATGTTTGTTAAACGCTTTATTCATAATCAGTTTTTCCAACGATCAAACGCGTCAGCTTCTCGGTCACACCTACCAAGAACTCATTATCATTGAATAATTTCCAGTTGGTTATAACCAATATATTTTTAATCTGTTGGGTTTACCAACTCTTAATCTTTCCACTATAACTAGGATTGCTGACTTCCATTATGTAAGTAGTTGAGTCAAATTGTAATTTACTGAGTTGATGTAAGCTGAAAACCATCAGTTATCTTAGGTACCGTTATTCGACGTCATGTAATATTATTGAGTGATATCGATACCAGTTTAAGGGGTATATATTTCCGTGTAAGCAAGAATTATTTGCTTTAAAGACGATTTTATACCAAAGAGGTTTCAGAATGCTTCCGTCTATCAGTTCTGTATGGTTTACTAAACTCCTTCAACTGTTATTTAATAATTCAGTGTTAACATCTCAAGCTGTGTGACATTTTTCTCATAATTCCATGAACAGCTTACTGATATATGCCACCCGGCACAAAACCTAGGTTAAGGGTTTGATGGAAACTACCTTGCATCGTTCGATATATTTGGTGATACTATCTTACTAGTTTTCCCAGATTTTACCGCTAAGAATAAATTCCTCTTTGCATACTGGCATACGTTTCTGGATTCAATATGAATACAACGTTCAGGTTAACTTATTTTTCATCTGTGTTAATAAAAAATCTAGTAAGAATAGTAATTTACGTTTATAAGTAAATCAATTGAATAAACAGGTACAAGTTATTGTATTGTGTTTGATTTTCATCTACGCGTATTGCGCAACGGTTAGTGAAATCATACCGAAGTTTATAATGTGAAACTCAGACCTATAGTTCAAAGTTGGTCATGTATAATTACTGGATCCTGCTAAGTTATGAATACTGAAACTTAAAGTGTTTACCATCCAAAAATTATCTTAATAAGTATATCACTTTTCACCGCGAAAGCTACACTGGTTTTAAACATGTAACGAATGATCGATTTATATGGAGAATTGTTGCTGTTTGCGTTTAAAACACACTATAAAGCAATTTCACTTATTCTCTTCAACAAATAGATTGACCAAACTGAAATTTTATAATGCTTAATTTGTCAGATTTATTAAATGAGACTATTAGCTGATTAATCACTGAATGTTATTCCTTAGTAATTGTTTACATATCAAGTTTATGATACAGTCGGCACTTTTAAGTTTTATTTTCAATATTTAAGGTTTTTGTAGCAAGCAATCCATGTGTTATTATTATCACTAGTACTGTTAGATCATAGTCAACAAACGACGCTTATGAAATAAGCAATGGGTGTTTACTAGACATAATATTATAACAGAGATATTGTGTTGATGTATTTTCAATCTCCTGAAATGATATGAAGTGTAGGCAATTGTTGATATGAATCATAGAAATTGGTCCAAAATACAATGCACACAAATCGAAAGATATAAAAACACTAGGCATTAGTAGTTATCTACTTCTGGTGAAACGATACAAATATAAACAATTTTTCATTGCAAAAAGTATTCATAATTTTAAGTTGAAGTATAAGCGGAACAGTTTTTATAAGTCATCGATCGACCAATCAAATGAAAATCTGACATCATTCTTATCGTTCATATCACGTTATGTAAAATTCATACTTTATATTATTTGTTTATCAGTAACTATGTCCGACTGGTTTATGAACAGGGCATTAGTATTATCATTAATGATCTTACTTCCAAAAATTGTTTTGCAGAATTTTGTGGTGTATTATTGCTTTTGTGTATCTACATCAGGTCTTTATTTATACTTATTCCTCACAGCCGTCTGCTCTAAGCAATAGCGTTGCCTGAATCAAACAACTATAAGAGAGTTACACTGATTGATAAGGTATCCAGTAGTCATAATCTAAATTCAAACTGATCGGCTTGTAATTTTTGAAGGACAGTGGTTAGTTATACTGAGATAGATTGAAATACTATCCTAATATGTTAAAACATGGTATCATTGTTTTTACGAAGGACTGCAATAAGAGCAGAATTATGAAAAAAGACTAGAGCAATATTCGTTTACTCTTAGTATGTGTTGTGCACTTTTCAGTAGTTTCAACACATCCCTTAACGATCATAGGCCTCATCAAACTAGTGCTATCTTTCTGGTTTATGTACAGTGCTTTTAACTAATGCATCCGTTCTGACTCTGTCGTACCTACTATGATATAAACAGCCGTGTTGTATCATGTCCTACCACAAGATAACTATCTATCAGACTGCTTTTTGGGATATATGTATGTTTACTGAGTTGCATCAAATAAGTATTACAGATTACGTGACTGTTGTTAGAAGAAAATAAGTTCTGCATAAATATTAGTTCTATATGAACGAAACTAATAGTATACATGAAGTAATTACGATTTGTTTTCATACAAAACAAACTACCTACTTTTAATACATAATTATTGATCGGCTAATGGATATCGTTAAGCTTCATCTTACTGTTCAGTTAAAATAAAACCAACTACACTTCTTAATGTTTATTTATCCAAACTTGTAAAGATTTTGTGAATTAGAAAACATTCAATCACAGTTTAAAGATCATATTCAATCTGAAAATGTACTTTTCTACTGGTCTTAAACTGCTCTACTCAATTCTCTGTATTACGTATCTCGGAGTAATCCTGAAAGTAAGAAAAGACTGAAGTGATTTAAATAAGAACATCAATAAATAGATATATTATGGTTGTTTTGAAGTCAGTCTCATTGAAGTACGCCACTAATAAAGCATCTGAAGGACCTTAACTTACCAATCATGAGACTAACTAACACAATCTCTATTTAGTCATGTACAATTTATATAATTTCATTATTTTAATTTGTATTTGGAAGTCTGGTAATTTCGTAATTAACACATCCAACCATACAAGTTGTTTCTAACACTATTTGTAGCCTGTATAAAATATTATTTGTTTTTCTATTTGGTTTTTTATCAAATATTAAAACAAAAAGCTTATTATAAATTTAATATATGCTAAATTTCATTATGTTTATTGAGTTATATTTAATAAACTGCTATGGGTAACCAGTATATATTGACTGTTGTACGTTAAGTTTTGTATGCTTTTAAACTGTTGGTTTAGTCTTACAGTTTTTTTGGAAGACTGAAACAATAATTATATGAGACTTACAATTGACCAAAATTATGTATTCAATTTTCTGCCCCTGATTTTAGTCATTTGTGGAGCTGGCTAATTACACTTTTACCCAAAATGGGACGAATGTACTGGATAACACTTAGTCTATATTAACTTATGGGTTTGAAATGTCGTTTAAAGGTAGTGTAATAGATGAAGATGTTTGATGAGACTTTAAATCTCCATTGGCTACCCTTTTTGGTGTGTACTACTTATATTAACACAAGTAGTATATGATGTTAGTCGTGAACAGAAGGTCTGGCAGCAGAGAGACAAGAGGATCGGACAGTAAAGAATGGAAACAGGATGCAATTTGTATGAAAATGAAAGAACAATGAAGTCTGAGTCATTTTGAGACAACTGGTGGACATTTTGCAAATCAAGCATTTATTTTATGATTATTAGATTTTATTAATATGTCCTGTAATTTTGTGGTAAATGCATTTGATTGTGCCTATTGGTGTTCGTGTTCACTACAGCATTAATAATGAACATATATTTTGTATGCCCAAGCGAGACCCGCCTGCACTTTCGTTGGCGTCTGGAATTGGCCCAGATTGATGAACGCTGCGAAAACTCGGACCTGTTCAAGTGGTCATCTTATGTGGCCATCAATAGTTGGTCTGAGTCATATATGGAGTTATCTTCCTTCTGTCTGGGGACAATCGTAATCTATGGTTGGAGACCTTATGTGGTAATTCTT